AAGCAAGGTGACTAATCCACAGGTTTTCAATACCAAATCACCAAGCAAGGTGACTAATCCACAGGTTTTCAATACCAAATCACCAAGCAAGGTGACTAATCCACAGGTTTTCAATACCAAATCACCAAGCAAGGTGACTAATCCACAGGTTTTCAATACCAAATCACCATACAGGTCAGTTATAATTTAAAGACATATGAGGATGGGTGTGCAAGAAATGTTTTAATCTCTTAATAGTTAGAAAAAAAACAGAGGTAAGGTGTCTAAAATGATATATTCATTTTTGTGTTTCTAATGGTGAAGAAAATACAGAGGTAAAAATTTCGTAAGTCATGTTTTCTATACCAACTGTCACAAGGAATTAAAAGTAAGTCTGCAAATATATTTTTTGAATAACTTCAGAAGACAGATAAAAGGGAAATTTGGTTCAGTGGTTTAAATTTGTATGTTTTTAAATTAATCCAATGATCAGAAGAAAGTAAAAGTAAGATGAAATGTGTGCTTTGTTTTGTTTTTTAACCTATAAAATAATATTGATAGCTTTAATAAAGAATTTGCCATCAGCTGTATTTGTTTTTGACTTTCAGTGAAAGAAGTGAAATACATATATACACAAGAATAATGTTGTTAGTCCATTGTTTCAAGATTAAAGATGGCTAGGTGCAGACAGCCCATTGTATTGCTTCGAACAAATATTCTTAAACAAGCTGAGTACATTATGCTGGTATTGGAATAATTTCTGTTCTTCATAACTAAATCATGTTCAGAATGTGTTGTAATTCAGGATTTAATCTAACTCACAAGTCAGTAGATCTTCACAAAACTAACCTAACTCACAAGTCAGTAGATCTCCACAAAACTAACCTAGCTCACAAGTTAGTTGATCTCCACAAAACTAACCTATCTCACAAGTCAGTAGATCTCCACAAAACTAACCTATCTCACAAGTCAGTAGATCTCCACAAAACTAACCTATCTCACAAGTCAGTAGGTCTCCACAAAACTAACCTAGCTCACAAGTTAGTTGATCTACACATAACCTAGCTTACAAGTTAGTAGATCTACACATAACCTAACTTAAAAGTTAGTAGATCTCCACAAAACTAATCTAGCTCACAAGTCAGTAGATCTCCACAAAACTAACCTAGCTCACAAGTCAGTAGGTCTCCACAAAATAACTTAACTCACAAGTCAGTAGATCTCCACAAATCACAGATTTGTGAATCTACTACAGTGGAATGGCATTTATCAGAAATACATTTTAACATTGTTTGGCATTTAGTAAAATTTGTCACTTTTAGGAAGGGTATATTCTTACGCTCAGATTCTCAAATCATAAAAATATGTTCAGTTCAGGGATTTAGAATTTCCATGATAGGGATATTTATTATACTTACTGGCATTAGAAAACAAAGGAATATGGATTATCTTGGGGCACCTTTAACAAGTTGTACCCCAGCCATGGTAAGTAAGGTCTAATGTCTTATAACAGGTGAGAATCTGTAAGCATTAAGGTCAGTAGCAAAAACTATTTGTGTGGCCCAGGTAAAAGTACAGAACATGATCAAAAAGGATCTCCATCTGGAAAAGTGGCAAGTTGCCTCCGTGACGTATCTATTCAAACATTGCATGCCTTAAGCAGATGGAGAATGATACTGGTGTTCTTGGTATTTAATATGAAAATATATTGGTCACTTTGTCGAATGTAGCACCTGTGGAGTTCTGTGTGATCAGACTTTTGTGAATTGGGTACTGGGAAATGTCTTTGTATACTAGATGGATTTTGGAAAACCAGTAGGGAGGAATTGTGTATTTTGGATATGACAACCTTACAAAGGAACCTTTTTACAATAGAATCTATGATGCAGGGCTATTAACAAAATGCATGGTCATCAGAGAGAGAGAACAATTGGATTTGGCAACATGGACTTTAATGATTGGTGAGACTTTAAATATAATACATTTAACCTCTGTATGCTGAAAGGCAGGTGTAACAATTTGTTGCAAATGGAATGAAAGTGGCAAGTCACAGGGTGAAGGTAAAATGAAAATAAAATATTTAGCTACTGGAGAAACAGAAAGAAAGTGGCTGAACGTGTTAGTGATAAAACTGCTCTAGAATAGTGAAGTTAAAATATAAAATAAACAATAAAGTTGGTTTGTATTTAAAAGAACAAACTAAATTGGAGATATTATATTTTGAAACAAAATAAATGGGAAGATAAAAATAAACTTTACTGGCAACAGGGTTAAACAACATACAATTAGCAAGCACTAACAGGACTAAATTGTTCTTGTTAGGAAAACAGCATTTAATATACAGTTGTGAATTACAGTCATATTGTGCTGGTTAGGTAAACACTATTTAATATACAGTTGTACATTATGGCACATTGTAGTGTTTAGGAAAACTATCTAATATACAGTTGTACATTACTACACATTGTGGTTGTTAGGTAAAGGTGGTTAGGAAAACACTATCTAATATACAGTTGTACATTACTACACATTGTGGTGGTTAGGAAAGCACTATTTAACATACAGTTGTACATTATGACACATTGTGGTGGTTAGGAAAGCACTATCTAATATACAGTTGTACATTACTACACATTGTGGTGGTTAGGAAAGCACTATTTAATATACAGTTGTACATTATGACACATTGTGGTGGTTAGGAAAGCACTATCTAATATACAGTTGTACATTACTACACATTGTGGTGGTTAGGAAAGCACTTACAACTGTATATTAATTAGTGCTTTCCTAACCACCACAATGTGTAGTAATGTACAACTGTATATTAGATAGTGCTTTCCTAACCACCACAATGTGTAGTAATGTACAACTGTATATTAGATAGTGTTTACCTAACCACCACAATGTGTGTTAATGTACAACTGTATATTAGATAGTGCTTTCCTGACCACTACAATGTGTAGTAATGTACAACTGTATATTAGATCATTACTACACATTGTGGTGCTTAGGTAAACACTATTTAATATACAGTTGTACATTATGGCACATTGTGGTGGTTAGGAAAACACTATCTAAATTACAGTTGTACATTATGGCACATTGTAGTGTTTAGGAAAACACTCTAATATACAGTTGTACATTATGACACATTGTAGTGTTTAGGAAAGCACTATTTAATATACAGTTATACATTACTACACATTGTGGTGGTTAGGAAAGCACCATTTAATATACAGTTGAACATTACTACACATTGTGGTGGTTAGGAAAGCACTATTTAATATACAGTTGTAAATTATGGCACATTGTGGTGGTTAGGTAAACACTATCTAATATACAGTTGTACATTATGGCACATTGTAGTGTTAGGAAAGCACTATTTAATATACAGTTGTGAATTACAATCATATTGTGGTGGTTAGGTAAACACCATTTAATATACAGTTGTACATTATGGCACATTGTAGTGTTTAGGAAAACTATCTAATATACAGTTGTACATTATGGCACATTGTGGTGGTTAGAAAAGCACTATCTAATATACAGTTGTACATTATGGCACATTGTGGTGGTTAGGAAAGCACTATTTAATATACAGTTGTACATTACTACACATTGTGGTGGTTAGGAAAGCACTATTTAATATACAGTTGTACATTATGACACATTGTGGTGGTTAGGAAAGCACTATCTAATATACAGTTGTACATTACTACACATTGTGGTGGTTAGGAAAGCACTATTTAATATACAGTTGTACATTACTACACATTGTGGTGGTTAGGAAAGCACTATCTAATATACAGTTGTACATTACGACACGTGGTGGTTAGGAAAACACTATCTAATATACAGTTGTACATTACTACACATTGTGGTGGTTAGGAAAGCACTATCTAATATACAGTTGTACATTACTACACATTGTGGTGCTTAGGTAAACACTATTTAATATACAGTTGTACATTATGGCACATTGTAGTGTTAGGAAAGCACTATTTAATATACAGTTGTACATTATGGCACATTGTAGTGTTTAGGAAAGCAGTATTTAATATACATTTGTACATTACTACACATTGTGGTGGTTAGGAAAACACTATCTAATATATAGTTGTACATTACTACACATTGTGGTGGTTAGGAAAGCACTATCTAATATACAGTTGTACATTACTACACATTGTGGTGGTTAGGAAAACACTATCTAATATACAGTTGTACATTATGGCACATTGTGGTGGTTAGGAAAGCACTATCTAATATACAGTTGTACATTATGGCACATTGTGGTGGTTAGGAAAGCACTATTTAATATACAGTTGTACATTTCTACACATTGTGGTGGTTAGGAAAACACTATGTAACATACAGTTTTACATAATCTGTATAAACATTATTTTTACTTGATAGTTTCTGAAACATTAAAAATTGTAAGGCCAGTTAGGAAATAATATACTTGACATTCTTTAATTTTGGGGCTTTCAGGTAGTAAAGTGAAGGACATATGGGCATTTAATAAGGAAAAATTGTTGAAATTTGGATATTTTAATGCATGGATATTATTTCAGAGTTACCTGCTACACTATGTTTGAATTTCAAAGTAAGGTTGTTTGGTTTTGTGTATGTTTCATTTTTTTTATAGAGCTTCATATTTTGCCCCTACTGCTACAGTCATCCACCCTTCAGAGACATGCGAAAACTTTCAGGGTGTAACTCCTGCACGCATCCCAGCTGTCCTCATTCCATGCAGGCCAATGGCTTGGCATCTTGTTCTCAGTGTGATAATGGAGTACTTGTATTAGATCCTGCCTCTGGGCCAAAGTGGAAGTTAACCTGTAACAGGTAAGAACTGGTGAGAGAGGGTTTATTAGTTACACAATATAAGTATTTAAATACATTAACTTGTACTTTTACTAAGGTGTCTCTGCTGCACATTTGGAAAGATGTTTTATTTTTATTTGTAAAACTATCAAACATAAATGCATAAAACTTGAGTTTATTCTAATATAATAAATGGTAACTGTTGAGAAACTAGAGAACAGATACTTAAAACTGGTATTTTACCTAATATGGGATATAACTTACAAGACTAGAAAAAATAAATATATAAAACTTAAGTTTCTCATATTATAGGGTATGATAAATTTTGCAAATACAGAGGACATAAATACATAAAACTTGGGTTTCTACTATTGTGGGTTATGATAACTGAACCAAACTATTAGAAATATATGTATAAAAACTTAATCCTATAATACAAGAAACAATGATAAATGTTGCAAATACAGAGGACATAAATACATACCCTATAATACAAGAAACACAAGTTTTTATACATATATTTCTAACAGTTTGGTTCAGTTATCATAACCCACAATAGTAGAAACCCAAGTTTTTGGGTTATAAGTGAACCAAATTGTTAGAAATATATGTATATAAAACTTTGGATTAAATTAACATGGGTAATGACAACTGTTGCTGAACCAGTAGGAATAAATACTCAAGACTTTGGATTGAATTAACTTGGGTCATGACAACTGTTGCTGAATCAGAAGGAATTAATACTCAAGACTTTGGATTGAATTAACTTGGGTCATAACAACTGTTGCTGAATCAGAAGGAATTAATACACAAAACTTTGGATTAAATTAACATGGGTCATGACAACTGTTGCTGAACCAGAAGGAATTAATACACAAAACTTTGGATTAAATTAACATGGGTCATGACAACTGTTGCTGAACCAATAGGAATAAATACTCAAGATTTGGATTAAATTAACTTGGGTCATGACAACTGTTGCTGAACCAGATAGAATTAATACACAAAACTTTGGATTAAATTAACATGGGTCATGACAACTGTTGCTGAACCAATAGGAATAAATACTCAAGACTTTGGATTAAATTAACTTGGGTCATGACAACTGTTGCTGAACCAGAAGGAATAAATACTCAAGACTTTGGGTTAAATTAACATGAGTCATAACACCATTTCAGAACCAGTAGGAATATATACTCAAGGCTTTGGGTTAAGCTAACGTGAGTCATGGTGACTGTTGCAGAACCATTAGGAAGAAAATGCTCAAGACTTTGGAATAAATTAACATGGGTCATGATGACTGTTGCTGAACCAGAAGGAATAAATACTCAAGACTTTGGAATAAATTAACATGGGTCATGATGACTGTTACTGAACCAGAAGGAATAAATACTCAAGACTTTGGAATAAATTAACATGGGTCATGACAACTGTTGCTGAACCAGTAAGAATAAGTACACAAAACCTTGGATTTAATTAACATAAATAGACAATTACCATATAATATTCCAAACCATTAAAATCAATATATAGTTGAATTATTTTTATTATATAACCACCACCACCACCACTCTATTATGAAAATAGGAACTAATCCAGGCTATCCAACCGTGACTTTTGGAGACCCAGGTCAACCTGAGGTCATGTGACTATCAATTTATAGGATGCCACTACTTATGAACCATTAAAGTTTTTTTTAAGTCTTGCTGTTATAGCTGTTTGAAAGTTGCTTCACTGATACCAAGACATGGTTGACAACAGGATCGCTTCCACATTGGGTTTGCTAGGTTAAAGACGTCACAACTGATTATTGTAACAGAAGAAAGAACAAACAGTTCATAAAGCACACACATGACTTCAAGCAAGTCACAGAGGACAGAACCTATAAATATCATGGTTGTGTAAGTTTGTGTCACTGTGTTGTAGCTTGATTGGGGTTTTTATGCTGTATTCATCATGTGAATGCTTATAACATTACTTTTATCATTTAGTTCAGGGGTGAGCAATAATTTTTTCAGGGGGGGGGCTATTCCACTCCTCACATTTCTACTACATTAATTAAATTACTTCAATGTCGATTGTATAAAGACCCCATTATGTTTTTTCCACAATTGCCAGGAGTCATGGCGGGCAGGACAGAAATGTTAGATGGACTGTATTTGGCCCACTCCTGATCTAGTTCAAGTTTTTTTTTCAGTAGGAAACATGAAGTCAGCAACTTAATGTTGGATTGACAGTTGAATAACTTTATTTATTATTTACTGATTGAATTGCAGCATGAAATAGTTGAATATCTACAACTATATATTGTAAGTGTGATTATCAACAACAGTGGTAAAACCAGCTTTCTCTTCTTACAATTTACTAACTTAACTTTCTTATCATTAAAATAAGCATTCTTTATTATCAAAATGACAAAGCCTTACTGGCTGAGGCTTTGTAATTTTGTTATTATCACGATGACTGTTAATAAAAGTTCAGCCAACTTGGTAAAGCTTTTCCTAACAGAGGATACATTAATAGTATGTCAGCAAATGTCATGAACTAATGCACCTCATCATTTGGATGCATATTGTTCTAATAATACAGTTTTTCAAAAAGTTTAAGTCTTTACTTCATATTTTCCTGGAGCTGAAGAACTTGGGAAATTATATAAAAAATAAACTTTTCCATCTTCTTCGTTTACTCTTCTGTGTATTGTATATTTTTAGACCATTGTGTATAGATTACTTAGTTTTTGCTATTTGTTTTTCTAAAACACACTGAAAATTGTACTTGTCCACACATTTCTTATTCAATAAATATGTAGGTATAAGTTGAAGATACAACAAGAAGGAAGTTTTACACATTTTGTTTGAATTATAATCCTTTTCATAAATGTTTTGAATTCAGGTGTGATGTCATTATTCATCTGTTTGAAGATGCACATAAAGTCTCTGTGGAAGAAGACACTTGTGAAGATTGTACTTCACAGTTAATCAGTGTAGAATATAAGGCTGTAAGTCATCAAATATTTCTTTTTCATTTATTCAGTTGTTAGAAATTGAACTTTGCATGATACTTCATGTTCTGTAAAAAAAAACAGATATAATATCAGGATCAATGTTTATTGATTTTTCATTTTGGGACACTTAACTCATGGGACAGAAATATGTTTTGTTTTTCAGATTACTCAAAAAATAATAACTGTATTTCAATAAGTAGTGTAAAAGGAAAATAAATACAGTACTGTGAAAAAGTGTTAGGACAAGAGAATATTTTGTCATTCTTTCCATTTTATTGGTCTAATTCTTCCATGCCATTATAGAATGTACATTTCAACACTATGGTAATGCTTCACTGATCCCTGTTGACAGTTGAATGAGCCAGGGTGAGAATACTTATCATTCTGTAGAATTCACAAATACTTGTACCAAGGGCATGTCATGAGGGTTCTGCTTGAATAAACACACTGATCAAATTTAGGGTCTGAAATAACTGTCATGGTACCCCATGCAGTGTCTTAACTATATAGAAAGAAGCTAGCAAGGAGCTGGCATATGGTACCGGTATATGCTAGAAGAAATCAATTTAATAGTACTCCACAAATAAACCTTGATAAAAACAGTGTTTAACACTGTATATTAAGTTTTGTTGTCATGCCACAACTCAAAAAGTGTAGAGAATTGTCAGTAGAGCAAAGAGTTCGCATAAAAGCTTTACGTGATGCTGGTTAGACTCTTCGACAAATTATGCAGACTTGAAATGATCTCCAAACACTGTCAAGTACACCATAGATCGTGAGACCGAGACAGGTAAATTTGAAGATAGGAAAGGAAGAGGCAGAACACCTAAACTCAATGATACTGATGTTAGGTATCTTCGTTTATGCAGTCTTCGGGACAGTAGGAAGACTGCCAATGATCTCAAGCATGAGATAAACGACCATGTACCAAATGACAGAAAAGTGTCCAGATCTAAAGTATCAAGAAGTCTCAACAAGAATGGAATATTTGATTGTGTAGCAGTTAAAAAACCTTTACTTCGATCTTCAAGTGTTGTCAAAAGACTGAAATTTGCTTTAAAAGTACAAAAACTGGACAGATGAGTTCAAGTTTGAAATATTTGGTTCAAAATGTAGGTTGTACGTCCAGTAGAAGAAAAGTGAAAGATGCTTACCTAAATGCATAGCACCTACCATGAAGTATGGGGGGAGGCAGTGTGATGGCTTGGGAGTGTTTTTCTGCTGAGGTGACTGGAGATATTTGCTAAATAGATGGAATAATGGACCAGTGCAAGTGTCCAGTGGTTTGTGTATTATTGGTAAAGGATTCTACTACCAAGAATATAATGATCCAAAACACTCATCCAACCAATGTAGAAATTACTTAGCTCAGACAGAAGCTTCTGGAATCACTTAACTGATGCAATGGCCCCCACAGAGCAGATCTGGAATTTGATAGATAAAAAACTTGACAAATCAAAAGCTACTTCCAAAAAAACTTTATGGGAGTGTATTAGAGATATTTGGAGTAAAATCCCAAAGGACACTTTGATTAAATATGTTGCAACAATGCCTGAAAGACCATCTGCAGTTATTAAAGCAAAAGGGGGACACAAAATATTAAATGTTCGCTGAACTCAAGCACTTCCACTGAGTTTCTGTTGTATTAAATATGAAGATTGATAAAATTTTGCTGTTTAAACTGAGATTTACCTTCCATTGTTCTTTGAAAGTAGCCTGAAATTTTTGACTGTGTCCTAACACCTTTTCACAGTACTGTATCTTATTATTATTTTTTATATTATTAAAAGTAAATTCTGTATTAATTTATTGTTTTGAAATGGAGTATAGTTCACTACAATAATTTATGATTTGTTAAAGTAATGATACAGCTGTAGGAATGACTAAAGCAGCCATTTCATGAATGATACCAGCAACAAAATCATTAGATTTATGTTGACCTTATACCTGAGCTGTTAAAGATGCCAGTCAATTACTCATTGGATATCTATTGACCATCTAAGTGGTAAATGATGATATTAGTACAGTCAGTGGATATCTATTGACTATCTAAGTGGTAAATGATGATATTATTAGTACAGTCAATGGATATCTATTGACCATCTAAGTGGTAAATGATGATATTAGTACAGTCAGTGGATATCTATTGACCATCTAAGTGGTAAATGATGATATTAGTACAGTCAGTGGATATCTATTGACCATCTAAGTGGTAAATGATGATATTAGTACAGTCAATGGATATCTATTGACCATCTAAGTGGTAAATGATGATATTAGTACAGTCAATGGATATCTATTGACCATCTAAGTGGTAAATGATGATATTAGTACAGTCAGTGGATATCTATTGACCATCTAAGTGGTAAATGATGATATTAGTACAGTCAGTGGATATTTGTCATTCATTCATGTGCCTCAAAAATACAAGTAACCAGAATCACTAAATATCTATTAACCATACATGTGACTTAATTTATCAAATGTTTAATCATTCATCGAAGAACATGAAATCTGTGATAGGGTATGAAGAAAAACACTAGTGTTTATGTGTTGTGCGAGAAAGTTGTACTATATTCTTTCTTTAATGTTACTTTCGTTAACCGGGTTAGTTAGAATGTTTAATACAGCTATTTTCATCATAAGAATTATTTTGCATTTTTGGCTTAGTATATGGATTTAAAACTGAATGTAATCTCCTAAGCTGGCCAAACCTCACAAGATATTAATGGATTTACGACTGCAGTGGTACCCAACTAAAGAAACAGTGTTATTATTATAACCAAGAAAAGGGATCAGTATATTAAATTAGCTACACTCATTTCTGGGTTGATTTTAAGTTTCTCTAAGGAGCTTGCTATCGTGTAAGTTAATATTCTTCTAATTATCTAAGGGGTACGCAGATAAAGATTAACACTGAATATTTGTCAAAAATTACAAGCTACACAGAATGAGGTGTAAGTTAGTCATTTAATTTTTATTGACCATAGCAGCAATACAATCACTGTATATCTGTATGAGTATAATAAAACTCATTACTACATATCTTAATTGTATAACAGACACAAAAATAATACCACTGAACTCGGAAGTATTTATTTGTTATATTTACATGAATCAATGGTTTTATTAAAGAAGCAAGCTGTTGAATGTATCCATTTTATTCTGCATTTCTTTGTCTTTATTGAGTAATAGCTGAGATCATTTGAAAGTAAAAGGCTTTCTTGTTATTTTGGATTGTTCAGTTTCTTAGTCTGAGGCTCAGCTTTAATGTTCATCAGTCTGTTTTAGTATTTTGGGTTTGCTAATTCTGATCTAAAGTTGCTGCTAGTGGTTTAGAGGTAAGCTTGTGGGCTTGTAATGTTTATTGTGCAGCTTTGTGTTTAACAACAAGAAAAAATCCAGAGTAGCAGTAAAGTATGTACCCAGTTTAACTTTTTTAAGGGATCCTAGAATGGCTTGCTTTTGGTTTGGCTGTGTGTAAAAACTTAAACTGAATTTCTGGAAAAAAAAAAGAGTGTACAAGTTAAATTTGCAAATAATTCTTCTAGCTTCTGTATGATGTCAGGAACATAAGGAGAGGTAATGTTGAGTTGATTAGTGATTTGTTTTGGTGTGGGTTTTCTAGTGTGTAAACAATCATTGATAAACTAGTTAGTAAAGAATGGCTAGATTTATCAATGATTGTTTACACACTAGAAAACCCACACCAAAACAAATCACTAATCAACTCAGCATTACCTCTCCTTATGTTCCTGACATCATACACAAGCTAGAAGAATTCTTTCTTAGATGATAAAGATAATTGATAATTGATGATTGATAAAGAAACCTAAGATGTCTCGGTCCTCAAAAAAAATAAATTTAGAATAACAAAGAACTTTTACTTAAAGAGTGACTACTCATAAACCCTAACCCTGAACCATTATATTGGTGACATCTTTATCTTATAAACACATCAATTCGCCAATTTTTTCAACTTATTTCTTTACATGAAACTGAACAATAAAAGCTTTACTTCTATTAAAGAAAGTGAAACCAAACTTGTATTCTAAAAGCCTTGGTTTCTAGGAAGATAGAAACAATTAACACAGAATGTTTCCAACACTTTGGATCTTGCCGTTGTGCATTGGATATGTGTAGTATCGTTAACACATTCAGAGACTAGCCCAATCCTGACTTCTTTAAAACAAGCTGAAACACCTGTCATCCACTTTGAGAAAGAATGGCCATGTAACTTCACCAGAACCTATTTGCATATTGTATAAAACAACCCACTGTGCTCTTTTGTCCCTAACATCAACCATAAACTTGGGGATATTCTACCCATATTCATTTTTCATACTTTCTTCAAATCCAATTCTATGCTTTAAGCATAAACCCAATAACATCAAACCATCTAGAAACCTCATAGAAAAGGAATATTATGTATACTTGCATGAGTGTACATATACTGGTATACTTGCATGAGTGTACATATACTGGTATACTTGCATGAGTGTACATATACTAGTATACTTGCATGAGTGTACATATACTAGTATACTTGCATGAGTGTATATATACTAGTATACTTGCGTGAGTGTACATATACTGTTATACTTGTGTGAATGTACATATACTAGTATACTTGTGTGAATGTACATATACTAGTATACTTGTGTGAGTGTACATATACTAGTATACTTGCGTGAGTGTACATATACTAGTATACTTGCGTGAGTGTACATATACTGGTATACTTGCGTGAGTGTACATATACTGGTATACTTGTGTGAGTGTACATATACTAGTATACTTGCGTGAGTGTACATATACTAGTATACTTGCTGGAGTGTACATATACTGGTACACTTGCGTGAGTGTACATATACTGGTACACTTGCGTGAGTGTACATATACTGGTACAC